AGGCTCTGTCTCAAAAAAAAACTAAACGATGTACACAGGAAATTTAGTTGGGCTGAGCACGATTTGGAGATAACTTAGGAAAGGAACACATGCGAGCTTTTCCCTCTCAGTCCCCCTGCCCTTCCTACAGTGCTTTCCTCTGCAGGAACGTTTTGAGGCCTTCAGATGGCAGAGATAACCATTTTGAAGACAGTATCATTCATTAGATTCTCAACAGCACAGCATAGGACTGGTTATAGCAGGAAAAAAAATACCAGGAATGAGGTTGACCTTGAGGGGTAGACAGAACCGCGTTACCCTTATTTGTGTGCATGCGTATGTGTGTCTTTGTATATACAAGAGTCGTTGCAATGGATCTATGCGAACATGAACATCCACTACAGGGCAAATCATTATCCTTCGTTTTGGAGCATCGATGTTCTCAAAAAAAGATGGCTTTACAGAATCCTCCTCTCTGCTTGGCTTGGCAACCTTAATGTCAGAAATCTTTCCCTAAGCAGACGTCAGTGGAGACAGGGGAGCTCTTGTGTCTCTATCTCTGCTGCTCTCAAATTTTCCCCTTTCATGCAAGTCCTGACCTCCATCTTCAATAACCTTCCTACCTTCATGAGAAAATTAGAAGTCTGTGGTTCTGCACCATATCTGCCCCTTTGAGATGGACATATTTCATTTCAGGACAAACTATAATGTTAGCACGCCCAAGGCAAGTTTAATTCTTAAACTTTTTAAGGCCACTGAACCTTGCTCCAGAAAAACACACACAACCACATATAAATTTAGCCTCCACTACTGGGATCTTCGTGGATTCTCTGATATAAAAGAAAGGGAAGCGAGAAGACAGACTGCTGAGGGAAGTGTGAGTTACAAGGATCCCTGTGCCGAACTGTGAGCACCATCAGTACCAAGGGCAGTCTGTACAAGTATCTTAGGGGACCGAGGATTATAGTGGGAAAAAACAGATTCAAAAAGCAAAGTACATATTATAAGGTTTTTAAACAACTGCATGTTCTTTCCAAAGTGTCCGCTTCTGTCACTTGGATCTAATCACCTTTCACTGAAAACTGCAGCAAGGGCTGCTGCCCTGGAGAAGCACCTGCTGGACCATGCACCCTCCAAAGTCTCTTCCACTTGCTACATTCTGAGGTGATGTAACGTGTGAGGCCAAGCGGACAGTTTCTGCAGATGAGCCAAAACGTATGACTCCCATGACTCGGAACAGTCTAAAATGAAGGAAAGGAAGATAATCTGTGTCTCCTTCACAACGTGAGCAGTAATAGTGATAAGTGTGCAGTTCTATTTACTGTGTAGTTACTTTGAGCCAGACTCTGTTCTTGCATTTACACAGATACGCTCATTCATTTCTCCCATGAACCCTACAAAGTAGGAACTATTATTATCCCTTATTTACATATAGGAATGGAGATATAGAAAACTGTAATTTACCCCAGAGCATACACATAGTCGGGAGTCGCCCAGCAGCCATGCACACACACCGAGGGCAGGCCCTGTGGATATGAACCCCACTTCCTCCACTTATTCTAATGTGAACAGCCTGTGACCCAGGACACAGCCATCACGTGTTGACGGTCCTTACGGAAAATGAAAGATAAGTTGTCTCAAAAACATAAATGATCTTGCTGCAAACTAAGGGAAGAAAGAAGGGACACTAAGTGAAATGGTGAAAGGAAAAAAATAGGCATTTAAGAGGAAAAATCTACAGTTTTCTCTCTGCCGAAAGACTCCTTCACTACCGGCCCAATTGTTGCATGTTGACACCACACCATCGGGCAACGTTTACTCAGCCCCCACACTGGGAGCCAGGAACAGAAAGATGAGTAAGATATAGATCTTGTCCTCAAGAGCTTACCATCTAGTCCCTAAAATGCAATGTGACAAGTGCCCCTCTAACTACATGAACACACTGCTACAAGGCCACAGAAGGGACTGACTTTGACACTGTCTACACTGAGTTCTAAAAAGTCAAAAGGTCTTGTCTTCTAGACATAGGTCTAGGCAAAGAATTTATAACAAAGACCTCAATGACTAACACAGCAACAACAAAAACAGATGAATGAGGCTTAACTAAACTAAAAGGCTTCTGTACAGCAAATAATAATAATAATGATAATGATAAGCAGCAGAGTACACAGGCAACCTACAAAATGGGAGAAAACATCTGCAAAGTATACATCCGACAAAGGACTAATACCCACAATCTACCAAAGAACTCAAACAAGTTAGCAAGAGAAAACAATCCCATCAAAAGATATGAACACAGAGTTCTTCAAAACAAGATAGACAAATGGCTAACAACCACAAAAAAATAAAAAGTTTGACACCCGTAATCATTAGGGAAATACAAATAGAACCACAAGATACCACCTTACCCCTGTCAGAATGGCCATTAT